GATGATAAGTTTTCATGTACTATGCTTAAATTTCGTAGTAAAAAACGTTATGAAAAATTTATGTTCAAAAGTGTCCAGGTACTACCTCCTTTACCTTACTGCGTGCGTGCGTGCGTTCGTTATGCGTCTGATATTTCTCTGATCACACTCCGTTTATTTTCGCGTACTGTTTTTAGGTATAGGAGGAGAAAAATTGTCCGATCAAGATCATCGGTTTGACTCTTATTTATGGAATATACAGAATAAGTACTATGAGGCACGAGTGTTGATCTGTGTGACGGAAAAGCCAGCTTCAGATATCCCAATCGATGGGGTCGAAGCATTGATCGTACATCACGATGCACTGGCTGTAAGATCTGTATCAATCTGTAAGATTTGACGAATCCAGAATCTTTTACGCGGCGACGGCGGCGATCTAATGACATTTCAAATGATTATTGATTTTTGATCAATGTTTCCAGGAAAATGCGGAGGAAAACTTGAAAGCATGGTCTCCTTTGATCGGTTCTTTGGCCGAATCGGCTGAAGTACTGTTATTTTCATGTAATGTCACAACGGATTCCGTTGCAAAGGACACAGGTGAGAACATTATTCTCCTCCTCCTCCTTCTGTATTATTATTATCATTATGATCGTCGTTATTTATGGGGTATGGAATATGAAATTTGTCGATTATATATGTTTCAGTGATAAAGTGGTGTTTGCAAAATAGATTTGAGTTAATAGAATCGAGTAGACCTGACGACGTAGATGGTTCAGCAGAAGCTGACGCAGAGAACAACAAATATGGGATAGAGAGGATTATCGAGGCTCTGCATGCTCACATCTGGTCGAACATGATACTGAAATCTGGTTGTTAGAAAAAATCTCATATATATGCATAGATTTTCTTTGATCATTGGACACTGCGAATTTTATACATTGGTGGCTAAAAATCCGTGGTGTCCGTTTGCGTCGTGCGATAGTTATGTTATTTACAATTCTGTTGACGTTTCTAGGAAAATCGTCGTCGTCGTCGTCGTCGGAATTAGAGGAACAAAATGTAGACGTGAACCAAGTGGAGAAGCAGTTTGAAAACATTGTGTTGAACCAGAATTCCACGGAAACCACCAGTCCAATGGAAAATATGCTGGGTATGTGAGCGATAGAACAATCTTATGTGAGATGACACATGTGTGAAATAAGAATTTTTATCGATTCGCGTTTTACTCGAGCGTGCGCTCTCTCTTATTTTCGTTTCCAGATGGAATTATGGGTGAAGAGAACGTGGACTTTGGTGAACTGTTCAGTCAATTGAGAGCTATGAAAGAGCATGCAGCGATGTTGCCCACTGATCAAAGAAGGATAGCAGCTGAGCAATTAGTCACAGCTTTTTGGAAAGCAATGGGTGGCGACCCATCGGAAATGGAGGATTAACGGCTGCTGCGAGTAATTAATTGATTAATTCACAATGAATGAAATGTTCATGTGTTTCGCGAAGTACCGATATATCGTACCAGGGTAGATGATTATACGTCGATATCTTTTTTTGTTTCCTGATGATCACACACGCACACACACACATACACACATACGAGTAGACGATTGTAAGCCACGATGATCGAGGATGGTGAAACATGGGTATTTAAAATTTGAAAACTATTGTAGCGAAACTTTGAAATGTGTCATAAAACGGTTTATTAATTTGTGAAACGTGTTCAAATTTTTTCTATATAAATCAGTCATCAACACTCATTGTAATCATGATTTTATTACGGCAGCAAGTACGTGGTACATATATATAGGAAGGAGTAGATCAAGTGCTGCGAGATACGTCATTAATTTCTAATCAACTTTATTCCTAAAGAAGTTTCGAATAAAATGATGATAAAGTGTTCTTTATTCTTCCCACTCGGTTCGATCCTACGTACGTTGCCGG